TTTATAAATAAAAAATAGCAGTTTTAAATTCACTTCTCACAATGGAATTTTTTGAAATTCTCTTTGTCTTATTAAATTTCTATGCTCTAGCATCTGTATCATTATAGTCGTGCATAGCCTATTGCATTTTGAAGGATTTTTTGTTTGTTTGTTACTTTTGGTCGGCCTCTCGCTGGTGCTGCCCTTTTTTTTATTAGTCGCCGGTTTTTTGGGCTTATTATATTTTGCTTTTACACTCATTTAAAGCATTTTTCAGTAATTTCGACTTTACCTAATTTTAAGCCATTGCCTTTGGCCGCCACCCGCTGCTTGTGGTTTAGTGACAGGGCAGCAAGGCCACGCCCCCGCAGTTTACACAGCTGCCCTACCCAAGGATCGTAATCTAAATGGAACGAGCCTGCGTCGCAAAAAAATGGAAATACATTTTTTTATGCCCACTTTGGCGAAAAAACAACAAATATTACAGGGTATTTATGAGTTTAGTTTTGCTTATGGAAAGTTTGCTTCCTTTTTTTTGCGGAAACTTGTTTTGTTTCATTTTTCTTATGACAGCCATCGGTCCACAGAGAGTTGAGCGCGTCGCGAGTTATGCCACGGCCCGCCGCAAAGTAGGCAACATAATTTAGCTAATTTTTTATTTATTAAACTTTTGGCATCCATTTGACTTGGGCCTGTGGAACGGAAAACTTGCACTTTATAAATTGACAATTTGTTGTGTTGACTTTGCGGAAATTATTATCTATCTAGCCTATAGCCAACCGGGGAATTGAAATCAAGAGCTTCGGAACTTTGCTTTGCCCCAGCCGTGCATTATTCAAGGCACTTCTATACAGATATCGTAGGCCAAACATTGCCTCTAGCTCGATCTCTGTCACTTGAGGTGCGAAGAAGAATAATTTATTTGTTAGGCCAGGGCGAGAGAGAGAGAGAGAGAGAGAGAGGAAGGGAGTGGGGGCGAGTGGGGTCAACGGCAACCAAACTGGCAGCTTTTACAGCTTAAATGCCGTGCTGGGGTTAAGCTGTTCAAGTGGAACAACAAAAGCTGCCAGAACAATGGAAATAACCACAGCACGATGATGGCAGCTTGCCGGGCGCTGTAGCTGCAGCTGAAGCTGAAGCGGAAGCCGGACCAACAAATTCTAATATTGTCATTGTTATTGTTTTTGTCTTTAGCCGGACTTAACAGCCGAGCACACGCACTCCACTTGACTCCAAATTGAGTTGTGTGCGAGCTGACGTAAAAAAAAAAAAAAAACACTGAATAAACAAGTGCGAGTGTAAGAGCTAAAATTGACTGACTAGGACATACCCTGCATACAGTGCTGAACTTTCATTAGATGAGTAACAGCTTCTATAGGTTTTATTTATCTATTATTATGGATATGTTGTTAGATTCATGCAAATGAGAACATGTTATCGATAATAATGCAATAATGTACAGAACTTGATTCACGGCTTTGCGTAGGATATTTCTTGAAATAAATGTATCGATGAAGGCTCTAACATCATATTAAAAAATCGATATATGTCGATAGCATATAAAAGCACATTTCATTTAAGCACCTTTACCCGAGATATGCTCTTAAACCTAATCTGAAAATCGAATATCGTAATAGCATATCGTAAATCGATGTTTACAGTGTTTCGGTTAAACTTGAGTGATGAAAATACATTTAACGACATTTGCTCTTGAAGCCTAATCAAAAAAGAGACTATCGAATATCGTATCGAAGTACTATATACTACTATATATATCTAATCTTAGGCCAATATACTGTTCGCCTTGAGATTAAAGACAAATGCATCGCATAGACAGATGGGCTTGACTAGAGCAGCTCACTTTGTATAACTAATATTTACATATGTCTATATCTAAACTTTCTAGCATCTATAAAGTTTTACACAACAACCTCTCAGAGCCTAATGATTGCTGGGTAGACAAACTGCAGTCAGTGTCCTTGGAGTCGAGAGCCAATGCGACAAAAGTCAAGTGCTGCATGGGGAGTCGGGCAATAGACGATGGACGATGGACGATGGACAACGATGGTCCTTAAGCCTTTTGGGAGATATGCACGGCGCAGTGCGAAGATATTTATGGCCACTGGAAACTGGACACTGGCCACTGGCCACTGGCCACTGGCCGGCGACGACGTGCAGCCATTGGACGCCGCTCGCCTTGAGCTGGACGTAAGCCGTTAAAGCTTTCGGCATGCCTCGCTGTGAACGCATGTGCCGGGTCAATTGCTGCAGCCAACGTGGCGCATGACTGATACGCATAGCTGCAGCCGCACAGTGTGGGCAAAATAGCGAGCAAACAACATACAACAAACAATCAAACAAAAAACAAAAACATTAAAAGCAACAAAAATACAACCAAACAACAACACAAAACATTCAATTGAAATATGCCACAACACGAACAGCAACTGCAACAAAATGGAGCTGGCAAACCTCACAGAACAAATAAACAGAATAGCCAGAACGAGGCTTTTCGGCTGGGTTGACATTACGTATACGACTCGCATTTGCAGTATTGAATAACGCACGAGAATAACAACATGAATCTTGTATGCGTGTTCCGCTAAATAATAAATTATGCCATCTACATACATGACGCACCCATTATATTACACTGCATTAAAATAGCAAAATTTCATTCGCTGACTGAATCGACCGAATTATTCCGAACACATTTTCGTAGTACAAAACAGGGATTTTTAACTTTTGGAATATGATGAATTTAGGTATATTAGAAATGTATACCTAAAAAATATTGTCGCATAATTTTAATATTTCTGAATACTTCAAGCGTAACGTTACGATATGTAATTGAATAATAATTATTATTTGTCTGTTAGTATTATTATTAGTAGTTGTCTGTAGATATAATGAATATATATGTACATGCCTGATACGCTAAATATAACTGTTTAAAATCACCAAATGAAGTTACGATATGAGCATACGATATGCTCTTGGTCAAAGAGCCGATCCACAGTTGCTCAGAGTAAGCTGTAATATAATTGTCCAAGTCTGATATATTAGTAGTCTAAGATACGATATGAGCTTGTCTATAATATATAAATTTAGTATATACTTTATGAAATATTGTGGTCTAATATTCAATGTTCGGTTGCCCAATTGGCCAAAACATAGGATATTCAGCTGCCTAATTGACTCCTATGTAATTGATTAAATTACAATACGATACAGTATACAGCCCTCAAATGCGATATTTAGTTGCATATACTTACGATATTCACTTATCAAATATACGATATGTACTTGTCTAGAATTCTGCTAGAGTTGCCCAAAGGTTCGACATTCTATTCGAAGAATGAAGAAATTAATAATGCCAAATGCAAAAAGCTTTAAAAAAAAAATAGGGCCTAAAGCTGATCTCTTAACAAATTTCAGATAAGAATGTTCCGCCAGCTGTTCTAAAATACCAAATAAATATTTTCCGACGAAAGGTGATATAATTCAATAGAGGTTTCTCAAAAATTCACACATCTCTTTAAACATAAACCTTAGATTATATTATACTGATAATTCAATACTTCAAAAAGATAAAATATAAAATTTAATTGAATTTGAATCCCATTTTCTCTCAACTGTGTATCTTAACAGGGCCCTTTAGGGCACTTTAGGTCTGTTAAAAGTGCATTTAAGATTGTAGATTTCCTGTTTACAATTACAATTTTCATGCTGCAGTGCAGCTGCAAATTACTCATTCCCCGACCAAATTCACTTTGGCAAAGAGCTCGTTACTCTCTTCGCTAATCGAATATTTGTTAGTGGCACACACGCACACCCACACCCACACACACACACCCACTTTACTATACCTTTCCATTCACATTTAGAATCGATGGCTTGGCACAATGGGGCATTACTTGAGCTGCATTTCAAGGTTTTACAAATCATCAGCTCTTACGTGCGCCGCGCCCCGCCTCGCCTCGCCTCTCCTCTCACGTTGTTTACTGCAATTACTATTGAAAATAAACGTATTTCAGGCTAATTAAACAATAAAAGCGCAAGCGAAAGTAAATGCTATAAAAACAGTGGGCGAGTGTGCAAGGTGAACGACTAAGCGATACCCTAGATTTGTATGGAGTTTCTGTATTCTTTACAATCTTTGGCTACAAATCTTTGGCTATATGACTTTCAAATGTATCTATCGAGTAATCGATATTTATCGTTATCGATCTCCTCAAGCAAGTTTATAAAATTGTAGATGTATAATGCATTAAACTACTCTAGCTATATCCAGCTTTCAATACAAACCAATTGCCTCTGCCCCAGGTCTAATATACCCGTTTCACTACTCACCAGGGTATTAAGAGCACACAAAAACGTAAAGGTAAGCTGAAAGGCAAGTGAGCGCGTTCCTAAATGAAATTTACCAAATAAGACTCAGGCAGTTTGTGCAGATGGGCTGACGCTGCTGGCAGAGGCGTTGGGCGTGGCCGAGAATCTGTCTTTCACGCTGACGCTGACAGCTGACAAACCCGCGAGAGTTGCCCGCTCCTCGCAGCCTCGCTGAAAAGTAGGCAACAAAGACGACTCGACGCCCTGGCACAATGATGTTGCAATTTAATTTGTATTGTTAGCTGTTGTTGACGTAGCTACTGCTCCTGCTGATGTTGCTGCTGCTGGTGCTCCTCCTGCTACTCCTGCTGCTGTTGTCGAGACAATTGCAGCCGCATCATGTTGATGATGATGATGATGAATCCACTTAGACGCCAGGCACAGTTAGCTAATGGGCACAGCAGTCGTTTAATTGAACAGCAAAGGGATGTGTACAAGCTACCAATGTGTCTAAGTGTGTGTGTGTGTGCGCAGGTGTGTGTAAAAATTGCACACTAGACACATGAACAAGCACCCACACAATGAGACGCTGCATGGGACAAATGTTAATTATCATTTAGTTTAATTTCATTTTATTGCCTGGCAGCTTATTCAATTGGCTTTTCAACTTATTTCGACTTTAACGCATACATGTTCTTCTCATTCGTGAGTATGTATAGCTGGGTGTGAGTGTGCTCGTGTGTGTGTGTGTGTGTGTGTGTGTGTGTGTGTGTGTGTGTGTGCTTGTGTGTATAAACTTGATTGAAATGCAAAAACGCTCGACTTCACAGCAATGCGATTGTTGCACGCTGCTGCTAATCGCGGCATATACGCTTCGATGGCGGCTCCTCATCGCCCGGCGCAATCGACTGCAACAGGCCGCAGCTCGTGTGGCTGCCAAAGAGCGTTAGCAACAGAGCGACGCCATAGCCCGTAGCACGTTCACCCTGCCAACCAGAAAGATAGAGAGAGGAGAGAGGGAGAGAGAGATATATATAGAGTAAGATTGAAATCATACTATTTAAAGCTCTGTGCAATCACTTACACAATTGACGGGCGTGGCCATGTCAACATGCATCCACACGCCGGGATAATCGAAGCCCAAATGAGCCGCCACAAAGAGACCGGCACAAGAGGATTGCGCATTCTGACGATCCTGCAAAGGCAGATTGAGAAATTTGATTAGATATAAATGCAATCTAAAGTGATTGTATATGAAATTGAGAAGAAAATAAAGAGATATATAATTAAAGTTATAAAATCTTTTAAATAAAGTATATGATGGAATAATTATAGATGGAAGAAGAGTGCAAAAGTATTTAAATTTTAGAATTCAAAATACAATTAATATTTTCTACCCTAAGAATCTATATTGAAGACTAGCTTACCTAGCAATCAAGAACCAAGAGTCTGTGTATATTCAACAATCGAGACCTAGTTGGTCTCTAAAATCTTTAGAATCAAGAACAGATATCTTCATCTCAGTCTTATGACCAGCGCCATAATTCTGTTGCGCTTGACAAAGCAATGGTCGATCCAAATAAAAATTACTTCTATAGAAGTATCTTTAATCGATATTTATCGATTACAGAATAATGTAGCTAAAATATACCAACTCCCATTTGCAATCCCAAGAATCTATATTCCCTTCGCTCTGAAATCAAGAACCCATATCTACAATACTTTAGCTTTATCCCATACTATGATCAACAGCATCCTCTTCCTGCTACCCTCACAGCTTCTTGTTGCATTTTATTTTAGCTACAGCGTAATCTTAAAGTAAAAAAAAGAAAAACTGCAACAAGTTTATGTGAGCAGCGTCTTTGATATTAAAAAGTCTCCAGCAGCGCAGTGCAACTGGAAAATGTATATCTGCTCACACAAACACACACACACACATGTATATACATATATGTATATATATATATATATGTGCACATGACACATACATAAATATCTCTATAGATGTGCTAATGCCTAAATTATATGCCAGCTACCACGTAACGGAAACTGTCGCTCTACTAACTTGGGCGGAAATTACAACGCTTAAATGGAAAACATAAAATACTATTGCCTAGTACAATGGGATAAGTTCCAATATTTTATGAGACATTCTTGGCGTTACTTGAGTCAAAAATAAATTAATTAGGGGATCATTAAAAAATCGGATAAAAATATAAGTAAAAAATCATTTTAAAAATATTTACACTTTTTTCCTTTTTTTTTTGTCAAGAATTTTTTTATACGTCTTGGTGTATTCCCGTCCCACAGTGCCACATATTAAAGAAAGCTATACATATGCCTCTTTATACTCACATATATATAGAGGGAGAAAGAGAGAGTGAGCGAGATAGCGAATAGASCGTATGAAGAAGAAGAAACTGAACTCAGCAGCAGAAAGGACAACGAGAACAACAACAACAGCAAAAGAAGTCTTACACAGAATATTGCATGACAACGTGTGATAGTCCAAGATGAAAATCACATACACAAACACACAAATATATATAAATATATTTGAGAAGCCTTTCGTCGTGAAACGGAAGTTTAAAGTCTATTCAAGCCAACGATTTCTACCGCAATATAGTTGTTTTTGCTATTATTATTCATATAATTGTTGTCGTAGTTGTTGTTGTTGTTATAGACGTTAATGCTGTACCTATTACTATAGATGTTTCAACTGTTTTTGCTATCAAACATGCCGTAGCATTTTAAAAATGTGCATGAAGAAAAAAAAATCAGAAATGATGCCTCTAGTTTGTATAGTTTGTTAATAAATTGGCAAATTTAATGTAATTTAATCCATTTGCTTTATATTCTTATACATGAATAGATGTGTATATATTTGTGTGTCAATTAGAAACAGTCCAATTAAAATGCTGCCATGCATTGTGAATGTCTTTCTAATTGAATTGCTTCCAATTAACAAATTATTTGTCAAACGAGCTAACGAGATTTATATTATTTTTAGCCGATACTTTTGACATTGTCGTCAGTGATATGACATAATGACATATGATATTATCTAACAGTTATATATATAGATAATAATTTTGTTAGAGAATTGGCAGAGTATATTTATTTCATACTTGATTAGACAACAGAATTTGTTATAGACTAAAAGAATATTTTTAAAAATATACATAAAAATTATAATGTTTACTTTG